AGTTTCGAGGTGCCCGTACTCATCGGGAAGTGAACTTAATAATATTAAGGCCATATCTCCATCACTAAAAGTCACGTCCATATTCTGCAAATTTGTTGCCAACTTATTAAAGCTGGTATTATGACCATTCATTGTAGTACCGGGAATATATGTAAAGCATAATAGTCTTTTTTTCATGTAAAGTTTATTTTGACTGTTTTTCTTCAAGAATTTCTCCTCTAGGCTCTAGTGCATTCCACAATTTACTTGCAGAAGTTTCTTTAGTGTATGGATACTTCTGTTCTCTTACAAGGTAAGATCGAATGGTACCACAAGCAACGCGGTTGATAATATTCAAATCTTCTTCTCCTATATTTGTGGTTTCTTTTCTTCCATGGCAATATCTAGCCCTTGTTGAAAAAGGACATCAAGAACCTCAGCTTGCCACATCCCGAAATATCCGGACCCGTCAAAAATTTCAATTGCAGATTTCGCATTTGACATAATTCTTGTCATAAGCGAAGGTGCCAACGACGTATTACTGATACCTGATGTGGACTCTTCATTTTTCTTGTCTCTCAATTTCGCTACAGATACTATTTATTTGCTGACATTACAGAACACCAAAGTAATTCTTTTCTGATGTGGAAGTTCAGACTATGCTGCAACCACAGAGCATAATCATATAGAACCTTGGCTCTGATACCAATTGTTGTGGAAGCCGAATATATAGAGAGTGATTAAACCACAACTACTATATCTAAAGGTAGCTAAATAGTAAATGAGACAATGAAAAAGAACACCAGAAATTTACGAGGTTCGGCAAAATTTGATTTTCTGCCTAGTCCTCGGACACAATCAACTCAAACTTTATTTCACTCCAAAAATACAAGTGAAATACTACAAGAGAGAAAGAAGACTCAAATGCCTTAGGAGATAAGAAGGCAAAAGTGAGAGGTGTTTACAAATGAACAAAACTCTTGCTATTTATAGAAGTGAAATGACCTTAATAATGTCTTGCATGACATCACATAAAGTGTGATCATGCAATGTAAATACATGAAAAATGCATCTACCAATTTTTTCCTAAAAGGAGCCTTCCAAATTTTCACGTTAGTTCACATGAATCTTGTCAAATTTAACAGTAAGTAGGTATATGCATGATCCAGGAAAGGAGCATTGCCAAGCTGTGAAATGGATTCTACGGCATATTCGTAATACTGTAGATGTTGGATTGATTTTTGAGCAGGAAGATAGTCAGTATCTTGTTGGATATTGTGACTCAGATTATGCGGGTGATTTGGACAAGCGCAGATCAACTACTGGTTATGTTTTCACTTCAAATGCACCAGTTAGTTGGAAGTCTACTTTGCAGTCAACAGTTGTTTTGTCTACTACTGAAGCAAAGTGCATGACAATTACAGAGGCTGTAAAGGAGGCAATTTGGCTTCAAGTGTTGCTTGGAGAGCTGTCAAGAAAGCATCACACTATTTTGTGATAGTAAATGTGCTATCCAATCAGCAAAGAACCAAGTTTATCATGCAAGGACGAAGCACATTGATGTTCGATATCACTTTGTACGAGATATTATAGAAGAAAGTGGAGTCATGGTGCAGAAAATTCGGACTACAGAAAATCCTGCCGATATGCTAACAAAACTAGTGACTGCGATCAAGTTTCAACATTGTTTGAACTTGTTTAGCATTGTTGAACTTTGAAGATTGAAGTTGAAGACAATCAAAATTTAGCAGTGAGAGAAAATTGAAAGTGTGGAATCTTGCCAAGGTGGAGATTTGTTAAATTTGACAAGATTAATATGAACTAGTGTGAACATTTGGAAGCCTCCTTTTAGGAAGAAATTGGTAGATGCATTTTTCATGCATTTACATTGCATGATCACACTTTATATGATGTCATGCATGACATTATTAAGGCCATTTCCCTTCTTATCTCCTAAGATATTTGAGTCTTCTTTCTCTCTTATAGTATTTCACTTGTAATTTTTCGAATGAAATAAATTTTGATTTGATTGTGTTCGAGGACTAGGCAGAAAATCAAATTTTGCCGAACCTCGTAAAATTCTGGTGTTCTTTTTTATTGTCTCATTTACTATTTATTAGCTACCTTTAGATATAGTAGTTGTGATTTAATCACTCTCTATATATTTGGCTTCCGCAACAAATAGGAACTTAGTATTCCTCCTTTTCCTTTTCCTTTCTACCTTCTGGTGCAGAGTGTTGGGGGGAGGAAGTTAATAAGTTGCATTTGGCTGCATCATATAATGCATAAGGGATTCAAATGGAGGATATGTATAGCAAGAAATTTTATAGCCGACCCCAACTAGCTTGGGATTGAGGCTTAGTTATTATATAATGATTAATGCATAAGGAAAACACGCAATTGGGTCATACCAAAGGAAATGGAAAAATTATGGAAGCTCTAATTTTCATCCAAGTAAAACCCCTTCTGAAATATGAGTGTCAAGATATATGTTCGGAAAATTTGAGGCAAAAGGCTTTAGTCTAGTTGGTTACCGTTTGGTACTAAAGTAGAAGTGGGACTTTAGGTAGTTGATTGGTTATCATTGATTAGTGAGAAAATTAGGAGATAAAAAAGATGAAACTAGTGGAATCTTTGGTATTGCATTCATATATTAGTATTATTCGCAAATGTGCAAATTATATGACACAATTATTGTTTGGAGAATCAAACAACGTTTCCTAGTATACGTTCTAAATGTTTCTAATTCTCAAAGACATGAGTTTACAGGCCTTTTTAGGTAGTTCTCAATAGGCAAATGAACTTTGAAAAATAATCCAATCTATGGATACTCCATATAGCGATTCATTTGTGATAGAGAAAGTATTTTCTTTTTGAAAGGTCACGAGTTGACTTTTCATAAGAAGGTAAATGTATTTCATCAGCAGTATAGTTATCCAACTAATAGTTCTGGCATAAATCATGGCATGAGCAGCTGGAAATTTTCCTAGTAAGAATTATCGAGCTACAAGCTTCTATTCTGATAAAATGTCCTGCAAAAGCTTCGATGTAATATCTGATAGAAAGCTTCTAAATACTAACATGCCTATACTTGTAGGCATCTTATATACATCTAGCTGTCAGAGTTAGAAACAATTTAAATCTATTATGAAATGGTGGCATTCAGCTCGAGCTTTCTCTCTCCTCTTTCTCTTCAGCTTCATCTTTTGTTTCTCTTCCTGTACTAAAAGTTAGTTTGCAGTCTGCACTTCTGCAAATTGTGAATAAAAAACTGAACATTGAGCTTAACTCAACCCAGAAAGCCAGCTCAGAGGTGAGGATATCTCAACATCATGTAAGGGGATAAGAGCTCATTCCTCGACTAATGCGAAACACTCTAACCTCTAACACCCACAACCCGCACGCCCAAGGCTGGACATCGTGAGCATGGACAACTTGACTTGGGAGTCCAGCATTGGATAAACCAAGAACCGTGATAAGTCTGCCTCTAATACCATTTCGAGAAAAATGACTCTTTCGTCTAATTCAACCCCAAAAATTAACTCATGATGTGAGGATTGCCCAACATAGGAGATACCTACCCACTTTCTCAAACAATGTTGATAATCTAACACCAGCCAATTCTTTTTAAAAATTATAGCAACGACAAAAAATCCAGTGTAGTCCCACAAGTGAGGTCTGGGGAGGGTAGTGTGTACGCAAACCTTACCCCTACCTTGAATGATAGAGAGACTATTTCTGAATAATCCTCGACTCAAGAAAGATAAGAAAAAAGGAGCAATAAGTAATAACACCAGCTAGCCAATCAGAAAATCGAAGTGAACGAAACAAGTGATAACAGAAATATAACAATAAGAAAATACAAGACTAACACTAAATAGCACATTAATACCACTAGTATGAGCAAGTAAAACAGAAAATAGTCGGCCACCTAACCTTCTATCCGAATTCTCAATCTCCACACCTTGCTATCAAGGGTCATGTCCTCGGTAAGCTGGAGCATTGTTATGTCTTGCCTAATCACCTCACCCCAATACTTTTTTCGGCCTACCCCTACCTCTCCTTGGGCCCTCTAGGGCCAACCTCTCACACCCCCTCACTGGGACATCAGTGCCTCTCCTCTTTATATGTCCAAACCATCTAAGTCTCACTTCCCGCATCTTTTCCTCCACAGGGGCTACGCCCATCTTTTCCCGAATATCTTCATTCCTAATTTTATCCAACCTGGTGTACCTGCACATCTATCTCATCATCCTCATTTCCGTTACCTTCATCTTTTGGATATCGAAGTTGTTGACTGGCCAACACTCAACCCCATACAGCGTAGTTGGTCTGACCATCGCTCTGTAAAACTTATCTTTAAGTTTTGGTGGCACATTCTTATCATAAAAAACACCGGAGGTGAGCCCCGATTTCACCCACCCTGCTCCAATACGATGTGTGACATGCTCGTCAATCTCCCTATTCCCTTGTATAACTAACCTAAGGTACTTGAAACTTCCTTCCCTAGGGATGACTAGTGTGTCAAGCCTCACGTCCCCATCCGTTCCGTTTCCTGAGTCACCCCACTGAACTTACATTCCAAGTATTTTGTCTTGGTGCTGCTCAACTTGAAACCTTTAGACTCCAGAGTCTGCCTCCAAACCTCCAACCTCGCGTTAACACCGCTTCGCGTCTCATCAATCAGTACATGTCATCTGCAAGTAACATGCACCACGGCACCTCCCCTTGAATGTGGTGCGTCAGCGCGTCCATCGCCAGGGTAAATAAAAATGGGTTGAGAGCCGATCCCGGGTTCAACCCCATCACCACTGGGAAGTGTTCCGAATCCCCTCCTATTGTCCTCACCCCGGTCTTAGCTCCTTTATAGATGTCCTTAATCGCCCTAACGTAACACAATACGTACGCAATAGGTACACCTCTTAAAAATTACCTATATGTTATTTGAATAGATATGAGAATGTTTTTGTGTTTTATAAATTTTCCATTTCCCTGATCCATCCAGTTCAAACAACATGTAGGGCAATATTCGCAAGATCAACTTCTGCCAGTTTTGTGGAGGCTCAACAAAGCATGAGATACCTGATGGTGAGGAAAAGGTGAGAGCTATCTGCACCCGGTGTGGGAAGATTATCTATGAGAATCCAAAAATGGTAAGATTTTATGAAGCTTTACGGTCTACATTTTTCCGGCATGGATTCTCGAATCATTGTATTACCACTTGAAATTGTAATGATTACATGATTTTCCCTTTGGCTTTTCATAACATAGATGTTTGGTGGTTAATTTTCAATATTGATGGTTGAAACTTGAAAGTGGGAGTGTCCATCTTTGTTTAGAACTAGATAAATCCCCCAAACCAAATCAGTTTGGTAACCTTGTTTCAATTATTAGTCTACTTATTTGTATTTTTATCAAATTCAGTTTTGTTTCGGGGACAGTTTGAAATATGCATATACCTAGGGAAAAGGAAAACATAGCACAATTTGTTAAGCGACAATGGAAGACAAAGGATAGCTAAGCTAGTTGAGATATAGCTGCAAAGGAGCAAACAGTATTGGTCAAGAGAGAGTGGGTAGAAAATTGCCTGCCTGAAAATGAGAGTGCAAAGGATGGTAAGCCAAAGAACACAACCTTGTATGGCTTTTGTGGATGTTTATTTATCAGATAGGTTTATCCTTTGTTTGCTTGCATTCTTTAATTGTGAGGTTAAAGAGTCTATTCAGACTCTGTTTTGCTTTATTTTGCATTTTGGATTAATAGTTTGGGAACTGGCTAAACTTCAGGTAGGCGTTCCATGGGAAATAGTTGTTATGGTAAATTTACCCAGTTGGTCTGCACACCCCGGGGAGGGCTGCTCAAGCATGCTCTGCGGGACCCCCCCCCCACCCCCCACCCAAGTGAAATCTTAGTGATTCTAGTTGTTTACTAATCTGAACCTCATTGAGTATAGTTTGTCTTACTATGAACTTTGAGGTTGCAAGACCATAATTACCTCTCATTTATAGTATCCATATGAATTAATATGATTCTTTCTCCTGTTGTGGTTTTATTATTCATTTGTGCAACGCACAACAAACACAGAGTTTTATCCTGCATTGTACTAAGGGAATAATATTTGTAATCATCCACAAATACAGGTCGTTGGTTGCCTTATTGAGCACGATAAGAAGATATTAATGTGCAGGCGGAAAATTCAACCATCATACGGCCTTTGGTATGTGCCTGCCAACAATGTTTAGTGAGGCAAAAGGAGGTCTTTCACTTACCTCCCTAAGAAAGTCCTTTTTTTGAAATTCCCAACATCCAGAAATGTAGAAAGTGGTGAAGTACTTCAAACTTCAGTATTGTGAGTTTATCTTCAAATATTGTTGTACTGGTAGGACGCTGCCCGCTGGCTACATGGAAATTGGTGAATCTGCTGCAGAAGGAGCAATTAGGGAAACTCTAGAAGAGGCAAATGCAGAAGTAGAGGTTCAGTCACCTTTTGCTCAATTAGACATCCCTCTTATAGGCCAAGTGAGTATAAACATCTTGAAGATGACAAGTACTTTCTATGAATTGAGACAGATATTGATGACACTTATTCGTTGTGTTGCAGACGTACATGATTTTTTTGGCAAAGCTGAAAACTCCCCATTTTTCACCAGGTCCTGAATCATCAGAATGTCGGCTTTATGAGCTTGATGATATTCCTTTTGATTCTTTAGCATTTTCATCAATGCTGGTGACCTTGAAGTTGGTATGTTTATGTTACAAGGTTAAATATTTACTTAATGGAAAAAAATGCACACACACACACATGTATGTAAAAAAATAACATTTTCTTCATTTGCTTGCTTTTTCTAATTTTAAGTGATCTTTCTTATTTCATGTAATTGTAGTACATTGAAGATATTAAAGTTGGAAGACCGAAGTTTCATTATGGCATCATTAACAAGAGGTATTTCGGTCGGCCTATACTTTTCACTTTGCTATATAGATCCTTTATGAAGCTTAAGTAGTCTGTTGAGCAAGATAAGTCCTATTTGAACGTGTATAACAAACAGGACAGAGAGCATTGTTAGTTTACACAAGCATTTATAGCTGCACCAAACACATGAAATGTCGTTCATTTGAAAACGAAACTAATCCGAAAATCACAAACTGAAGTGTTCCTTTCATTAGCTGTAAGTGGTACTGTAACTTTTTCTCTCTTATATTTCAATTCCAGAGCGTTAGAATTTTTGTCTTCTGGTTATTAGCAAGCAGCGAATTGGTTATACTCAACCATGTTGTTTTTCAATAACCTTTGATTTGGAAAAGAAAGTGATCCACTAATGGTAACTTGATTAATGTTATCGCCTTGAGTATGCTCTGCACTGCTGGTGGTTGTGCATTTTGTAACGCTTGCTTTTCAAACTAAATTCTCTCTCCTTTCCCTTTAAATTAATTTCTCTGACATTGCAATCTGTTTTTTCTGTTTGGCATTTCCTTGCAAGACACAACTCAATTCTAAGCTGAGCCGAACTTGATCCCCTCTTACTCCTAATCTTTAGTGAAAGCTTAAATTAGTGTAGAATGTATATTAGTTTGCTGTGTTTGGCTACTACAACCAGTTAAGTTCATATTTTCGTCCTTTTCAACTCCCCATGTTTTGATGGAATCCTGTCTTGGATTGAAATGCAATGCGTAGTATATAGCCCTCTCTCAGAAGAATAATATGCATCTGACAGATGTAAGGAAGCACATTTGGAACTTTATGAATACATCTGCAGCAATTTGACTTTCAAGTTGAGATACATCGTATTCCCCAATTTTTTTTGGTATTTTTTAACAGTAAGTTATTTGTCCACTTTTGATGCTCGACTTCAAGGGTTGAGCACTTGCTGAAAAGTATAATAAGTTGCTTTAGGCCTAAAGATTAGACTGGGAAAATTCTCTGGATATTGTTGCTTGAGACTACTCTACTTTGGTGTAATATTAAATCTCAAGTATATCCTACTTTGGTGTGTGCTAGTCTTAACCATGTCAAGAAAATCCAATTTGTTGGAGTTGTTTCATTAGTCAATGGTATAGTGTAAGCTCTTTTTCAAGAGCTTGTCTCTAAGTTGCATTTCTTTATCTTTTTTTTCCTTCTTAACGTGTGAAATCTTGTTTCCAGGCCTGGCACAAGCCCTTCTGAAATCCATGCCTACACTCTGGATTATCATATGCAATCCTAACAAGCATGTAGGTTCTTTTCCAAGGCCACTTTGACCTAAGAAAGTAGACCATAAGACGGGGTGATGTGAAACAGTTATTCCGACTGTTTATCCCCCATAACAGACTCAACAGCTCCGATGCATTCTGATCTTCGTCCAGATAGGAAGAGTTTCCGGTGCTCTCGCTCAATGAAAGCATCTGGAAATGAATTTCTTTCATCATAGATCTATTGTTGTGTTGATATTTCCATTCTTTTAATCATCTTGTAAAAAGTCTCCCTGGTTTGAGTAGTACAAATTGTCTTTCTTGAGTTGTGATGGGTGCAGACTGAACCTTATTAACATTTTTTGATCGTTTTCTTAATTAAGCAACGATATAAAACAAGTAGTAGAAAAACATGTTTGTTAATTGTTAATGACATGATCTAACACGTTATACGTGTATTGTTGTTCCACTTCGAATTCGTCGTAAGATAATACGTCAATTGTGACAAAACTGATACACAGATTATTAAGCAACGAAACACTGTATTATCAATGCAGAATGACATGTCTTATATTTTTAGTAAATACGTCTAACCAACCAGTCCTTTATTGTTGTAACCAATTTAATCTGGATTTGACTTAGATATGAATAGTGGTCAATTTTGGGCTGGATAATGTCCAGAAATTCCAAAAGGAAAACAAAACAAAGAGAAATGAAAAGAACATGAAACAAAAATGGATTTGGAATTATCCAAAAGATATCATAGCGTGACGATTATCCAAGATCATGTGAGGAGATAATGCTCAATTTTCATTACCAATGTTGAACATCCTAACATCCTTGCACAACAAGAGTTGCATAATGTTACATGGGGGGTTCAAAGTTGAACAAAAAAAAAAAAAAAATAGATATGAATCTGGCTCTGATATCATTTAGATCATATAGACATTGAGTCTATTTTATCCTCAAAAGCAAGCTAAAAAAATTAGGGAAACTTACACAAATGTCCCAAATAAATGTCAACTTACCAACCTCTAGCTATTAGTCATAGACTTACCAAAACTAACCAACAAAAATTGAAAAACCAAATAATAGGGTTCTTTCTCTCAAAGAATCACATGCAAAAATCACATTCCATATTTTTAAGTGTGATTAGCAACATTAGATACAAGACGGAAAAGAAATTTCATGGACGGGGTAGCAAATAAGGTGATGAAATACAAAAATCTATACAAATATTCCAAAAATCTAAACAAAAAAGGAACTTTTTCAATGGGTATAGTTGAAATTCATTGAAAATATATAGATAAGTCAATATACAAAATTTGAGGAAGATTGGAGGTGATTTGGAGTGGTATTGTATCAAAATTCATAACTAAATCGAGTTCAAAAAAGTCTTCTGCTACACATGTATCAAACATGTATCACGTATGTATTTCACACACAGGTATACATGGATATACATGTGATACACAATTGATACAAATATGATACATATGTGATACACAAATGATACACAGTGTGATACACATATCATTTTTTTTTCATGTTCAGCTTTTACTTCGAATTTTCAATTCAAACCACCTCAAAACTTCACCAAATCATCCCAAAACTGAGATTCAAGCTCCTTAAGTTGTGTCCAATCTATTCTAATAACACCCACTCAAAACAAAGCAAAAATTTGATATTTTTTTGCTACAAATAGCTAATTGGCTAATTTGGCTAATATTAGTAATATTTTATCAATTGGCCAATTTTTGTAATGAGCTACCTATAAATGAACATAGCTGGTAATTTCCCAAAAAATTACTGAGAAAATCACGCTCTGTGGCCCCCTAACAATTTATTAGCCCATATTTTTCCTATTGAATCGAAATAGTCTTTAGGCCCAATTTATTAATAAGTTATAGCCACTATTCCCAATGCACATATTTTCGAGATTTTTCTTCTCTTGGGCCCCTTAAGTAATAATTCTTTTTCGGGATTTTTACCTAACTATACTTTAGAAACTTCTTTACCTACGTTCTCTATGTTTTGTAGTTTTTAATAAGTATCTAGGTTTTTCTTACAAATTGTATGCATTGCTCCTTAAAAGGCTCACACCCCATTATTAGTGCCTTTAATTAAGGGATTCAATTACATCCTTAATTTTTTTTCCTTCTCTCTCCTTCCCTTTTTTTTACATCAAAATCCCTTAATCTACTCCCAAAATCTCCATCTTTTCTCTTTCCGCTATTGCCGACACCTTTATATTATTAAAAAATCGTCAATTGCATTGTTCTTTTGCTGGGTGACTGGACAACACTTAAAATGAAGAAATAATTCAGGAATTGTATCATAAATGTATCATAATTGTATACAAATGGTATAAGATACATCAATGCCTAAAATAATATATATCATACTTGTATCACAATTTTATCTAACTTGTATATGGTACATTAATACCCAAAATAATACCTTATACAATACAAATAAATTAATGTTCAATTATCATATGTTTGTGATACAAACTGCAAAATTCGTTACGAACTCACAACTGCTCCTAACAATATACAATATATATACAACTATCATACATTTGTAATACAATTCCTTCAACAATTATAATACATATACATTTATAATGTAATCGCGATACAGTTTTGAAAATTGTGATACAATTATGATTTTCATCTTCTTCAAGTTTCAATCACAATTTTATACTAAAAAATCTAATATAATCGTATTATAATTATATTAATATTGTATCAAGTATTGTATTGGGTATTCATGTATCATATACAATAAACATTTTAGAAATAAACAAAACAAGATTCAAAACTTATCCACAACTTGATTCTAGAGCAATATTTCGAATGTCGTCTACATTGTATCAATAAGAAATAGAGATTTTGGGTGATTAGTAAGAAAGAGAGAAATTTGATTTGAAAACCTTTTGAGTAGTTTAGCCCCGATCCCTTTTTTATTGCCTCCTCCATGTTGTATTATGGTTATGTGATTTGCCGGGGGTGTTTGGTTTTGGTTTAGGTGAGTTTCAGAGTGAAATGGGACACATAGTCCCTAAGTTGGAGCCTTAAGTTGAAGGGGTTGACCGTAGTTTGACTTTTGTGTAGACGACTGCGGAATGAAGTTTTGACGTTTCCAATAGCTTAGTATGGTGATTTTAGACTTAGGAGCATGTCCGGATATTAATTTGGAGGTCCGTAGGTCGTTTCGGATTGAATTGGCGAAAGTTAGAAATGTTAGAGGTTTGGAAGGTTGAGTAGTTTGACTGAGATTTGACTTTATTGATATCGGGGTCGGATTCTGATTTCGTAAGCTAGAGTAGGTCCGCTGTTGATACCCAATTTTTCTCTGTATTTTTAAATATGCAAAATACCCCCAAAATAGCCTATATAGGCATATATGAGTACATCCCAAGGTTTTATTATTTTTCCTTAATTTTTCAAAGATGTTTAAACCAATTTACTGCCCTATTTTATCAAGAAAAACCAATAATTGTCACCAAAATTATCATTTTGGTGATTCATTTGTTGGATTCTCATGTTTATACTAAAATATAGCTAAGATATTTTTCACACATTTTTACAAATTTATTTGGTATTTTTAAGGATAAAATTGCATAATGGCAATATTAGCCATTTTTAGGTTTAAATTCGTCTCATATTTATAAAAGGGGATCTTATATTTTTAAATTATTAATTATATACTATAAATCATTTTAGTACTTTTAATTAGTTTTCAGAAATTTATTTNCTCAACCGACCCTCTCCTCTATCTCTCTATCTTTGGTTCTCTCTAGAACCTTCCCCCTCCCCTTCAGCTCCGATGAGTCTCACTCACCTTCTCCGGCCACCTCCTGGCCTGAATCTATGGTGGTCTCACCACCTACCGGCCCTCTAGGGTTCCTACACACCTGTTTGCTGAGGTTTCATGGTCTGAATACGAAGAGCTTCATCCAGACCTTGTTGGTTCAAGTTTTTATGGCCATCTCCGGCCTTGCTCCGGCAAGCCATGCCTGTTTCGAGCCTGGTTTCGACCCCTCCTGCTTAGATCAACAGCTATCCTAGCCTTTCTCACCGTTTGGGTTCCCCTGAAACCCTAGCTTTTGAGGTTCTTCTATTTTTCTTTAGATCTGTTCTAGATCCGTGTTTTCCCTAAACTTTTAAGCGATCTCTTGGTATTTCTTTCAAAAGTTATGCTTTCAAAACCTTTATATTTTTGCGATTTAGGTTTTTCTTTTTGAGTTATTTAGATGTTTTTCTACTGTGTTCTTTATATGTTCCTCTACTATGTTCTTTATATGTTTCTACTGTGTTCTTTATATGTTTCTCTACTGTGTTATTTATATGTTTCTGTACTATGTTCTTGTTAAGTTTCTGTTACCATGTTCTTTGTGTGCTTCTTTTACTGTGTTCTTAATAAGTTTCCTCCTACCATGTTCTTTGTGTGTTTCTCCCGCTGTGTCCTGATTGGTTTTCTTCTACTATGTTTCTTATCAGCCTCTTCCACTATATTTCTTTGAGTTTTTTTTCTGTGTCTCGCATGTTGTTCTTGTACTACGCTTCTCATGAGTTTCTGCTACTGAAAGAACGTGGTAAAGGTCTCAGTTCCTTTCTGAAACCTTTGAGCCAGTTTCGATTAGTACCCTTTTTCTTGATTGCTTGTCCTCTCATCTCTGTTCTCGATTGATGGTAGAAACCCTAGAATTTGGGGCTTCTTCCGAGTTTTAAAACCATTGGCTATGTGATGTGCTCGAATTGGTTTTATTTCAAAAAAAAAAAACCTAACTCTTTTAGACCTATTTCGAGTTTCAGAACTGAGCTTTGAAATCTCTGTTTCTTTGAGCAATTCTAATTCTCTACTAAACTCTTCTAAGGTCCTTATACTGGACCCTTTGTATGCTATTTGATACTATCTCTTCTACATTACTGACCTACGTGGCTACCTACTGATTTTGCAATAGCATGACATTTTTCTTTGTCTAGCATGTTTGTGTACTCTTTATACGTGCTGAACTTCCCTCTAAAAATGGCTTTCAATTTTGATTGATTTCAGACTTCCTTGTGTAAGTTTGATTGATTTCTTTCCTTGTTTGCCGATTTCCCCTGTTACTCGATTTGAGTCAAAAGCTTTCCTTAGCCTATTCATGAGTCAGTAATTTCAAACTTCTGACCCCTTGATTTACTGAATACTGATGGATCCTTACCTTATTTGTTTTAACCGTGTATTTCAAAATTCTTTCCTTAATTAAAACCCCTATGTATTTACCCCTAATTGCCTACTTTGCACAAGATGTTTATTTAATTTCTTTCCTTAAATAGTTTTACCGTTTGAGTCTGAATTCCTTAATTAAAGGAAGTCTTGTATGGATTGATTTTTTTAATTGATATTCAGTTCCTTAATTGTTTTCTTACCTTATTTCTGCCTGTTCTTCACACTATAAATGCACGACCCTTTCATTGA